TCAATATTACTGTCAAATTTGTTACATTTTTATTTAAAGAGCATTCGTTGTTTAAACTCATCTTTATTATATTAAATACATCTTCTAGTTGAAGTGTAGTGGTTACAACAAGTTTGCGCTGGCATTTTCTTTTTTACTTTCATATAATTATGCAATAACCTGCTGAAATTCTCTAATGCACTTTTCCAGAATCCAGTTATGAAACTGTCCACCAATTTTGGGGATATTCAGGTTAAAGTTTAGATCAGCCTGTTAACAGTACACAGTCTGCACTGTTATTACAAGTACAAATGTTGCTGCAATGCAGCGCGCAAAAATGCGCTCAGTACAGATACCTTACAAGAAAAGCATTGATGCAAAGCATCAAAGGGCGTCCAAGCAAGAAATGCAGCAAGTGAAGATGAACTACTACACATATGATGACAAGATATTCTTATAAACTACCAGAAATGTATACCACTTATGAATGAGCGGACGAAAGACATTGTTCATTATGAACTTTGATTGGCATGCTAGAGATTAGAATATTACTTGTTATTTCTTTATGATCGTGGTTATTAATAGCAACGGATATACATGTATGCAATCATTTATAATCCATATGTGTAACGCATGATCAACACGTACCACACATTTGTCCCTTATTATGTACATGTTATCGCTATTAGCGAAGACCCCTTAAGGTATCTGTTCACACTTTAAGTTAGTAAAAATATGACACTGGTTATATTACCATGTTGATCATGTTGAGCATAATTGTTTATTATACAATAATTGTAATATCTATTAATTTTAATTTTAAAAAAAATACAAATTTTATGAATATTGTTTGCTTTTATTCTTTTTTGTGTTTTATGTGCTATTTTAATACTGAGTTTTTACTACTCTTTTTTATTAAAATTGCAAAATAAATCTTAAGAATTCAATTGTCATATTGACCGACGATTATAAGTCAAAGCTTAACTGGGAAAAGTCAGTAAATTATGGTTTATCTTTCAATATATAATATTGTTTATTCTTAAACCATGTACATGTACATTGTATTTTTCTTTATTATTTTTTAAATTATCGATCAATTGAATAATTCATAAAATCTAATTTGTAACTTTGAATAATTCCTCGGCATCTTTACTAAACACGGATAACAAATTGAATAATTAAATAAAATGTTTCAAAGTTGATAATGTCATTTTAATACCATAAAAAATGTACCTTTTTCTCAATTATTGTACATATCACGGATTTATATTACATATAAATCCGTGTACATATTTATTGTTTTTATCTCATATAGATAAAATGAAACATGCTATTGTTGTTTTTTTCTAATTGTAACGATATCAAACATCTACTCCAAAACCGGGAGAGACCGGACAATAAACGTGTGGTACTATTCGCCGGTCACTAGTAAATCCTGGTCAATATAGACCGGGAGAGACCGGCATTTACCGATAGGAGTGATAAAAAGATATATCTATAAATAGGTTTTTGGAATATTTAGGTCATCAACTGATCATTCTAGGATACATGTACAACAATAACATACCATGACATGATAACCGACTGTGTACTACAAAATGATAAATAAAAAACCCCGAAGAGCGCGATTTATTGACGGAAAAGGTTATTTCATTTGTAAATGTTTGCATTGCGAAAATTCATTGTAACATATCGCGACATTTCATTCTTATTTAATAATCAAGCACCCTCATACCGATCGGAATTTTCGGCTTTTATTATGACCGACTAAAAGGCTCGAGAAGTTGCTGTCGCCCTTTCACAAAATCTGATCTCATTCCATAAGAGCGCCGCGCTTCGGCGCGGTCGCCAATTACCAAATTATTCCTACGCACAGGTCATGTTATATTCAGATTAAGTACTATTTTTCCGAAAGTTTTGTGAACCATTTTTTGCATAATTTTTCTTATCTTATGCACTGTCCATAATTAAAAAGAGGGGAAAGATATTTAATATAAAAAATTCTTTCACTGATTTCATTGAATACAAACAAGACTTACAAGACTTGTAAATGTTATGTGACATGACTGTACTGTGTTCTGTTTGTGTCACTACTGTAGTCAGTAACATAAGATGATAAAAATATCAAATTCTGTTGTTTTTGTGTCGATTGTAAATCGACACAAAGGTATAACCACCCATCTACCGGACTATTTCTTATTGCAAACCGAATTTCGTTGACAAAAAAAATAGTTCCGTATGTTCGGTTACAAGTTAGAAAATCCATTCATGCATTGAATATAGAAGGGGTTGTCATACATTTATAATTGTATTAAAGTATTGAAAATTAAAATTACAATTTAGTTTAAATTTGTACTGTACGCAGAAATTATATAAATGCGCGAGTGAATCACGTGATTGGCTCTTCAACGACGCCATTTTTATTCAAGCAGATTGAAATGCAGTTTCGACTTCGTTATTTGACACAAATATCAGGCTATTTTGAAGAAATTGTAAGTATCGGATACTCATACAGCGATTTTGACTAATTAACAAAATAAATTGTCCCAGAATGAGCAAAGCGTGCGAAGCCGTCGTTAATAATTATAAACCAGTCCATGAGCTAAAAATAGCACAGCTGGGAAACCCAAGTTATGACCTCGGATTAAATTACGGTCTTGTAAACAATTTCAGAGATTTGTGAGTAGATAATTGATTTGTGCTTCGAATTTGCGGATAATTTTTTGGCAGTTTTACTTCAATTTTGATACGTGAATGCACGCACCTTGTTGTAATTTCATGCGTGATTTTTGTAAATTATACGGAATTCACATTTGTGCGTGAATGGGAACACTGACTATCATTTAGTTTTTTACCATCTGATTCATTTTTATAAAAATATCTAAAAAGGTCTATTTTATGTATGTGATGTATATATATCATGTCTAATCATTTTTTTATTGTAGCTGTTTTATCTTTGTTGATCTTTATGTTATATACAGTCGGTTATAAAAGCTCCTAGAGCTTATGTTGTACTGTTGAAAACTTGCCGACTTGAAATAAAACTTATCTTATCATATCAATGTGTACGAAGAGGTATATGATAAGTGTCCACTCGGTCCGCAACAAAAAAGAAATCACTTTAGATTGTTTAGTTGATGAACATCCAGCGGTAGATCACATATACTAAAAATAATTGAAAAGATCTGTATGTTTTATTATCTTTGTTAAGATGAGATGTTGTGATTAATACAACAGGGTCAGGAACCATAAACGGCGGACACTTTTTGAACATTTTTCTGTACAGGTTTCATAAGTTTTAACCTAGAGACCAAAAAAATTGACAAGGTTCAGCTAGGTTCTTCCCCTAGCTAACAAACTTGTTTGTCTGATTGTATTGACACTTATATCTGAGGCTCGACAAGGAGGTATCAAAATTACCTCAATTGTCTACACTACAGTACCATGTGTCCGGACATTTATGTACATGATGTTATTTAATTCAGATAACAGCTTGGGTGTTTTAATTTTTAACATGATACAGGGCTCATCCGGAAGGGCGATTCAGGCGAAAACTTCGCCGTGTATATTTCCATTTCGCTCTCTCAATTGATCAAAGAGAAGTCAACATCGCCGATAAAATCTTAATTCCCAAGGAGTAATTACTTGGCGATGTAAAGAGCAGAGATTATATCCGCCCATATGACCACTGCTAATTATCATTATCCAATCAGAGCGTCGCTTTATACCACCCGTCTACCTGTATGCAAAGCGATAGACCGCCTACTCTAATCAGTAAATAATGAGAGCATCGGCCTGAAACGGATATAATTGTGTGACAGTTTTGCGAATTTAATACGGGATTAGGCGATAATTATAGATTTTTTTTCCCGATCATCTTAACACGTGCAAATCTTCCCTAATTGATATACATGCGGCGTTTAACCCGAGTAAAACTAAAGGCGATGTGCAATGGGTTTTTCACGGCTAGATCTATCTCAAAACTGTTAGTCAATTTAAAATAATCAATTTCAGTAATGATCAGCGACTGGATTAAACACTTAATCATATTTTGAATGATTTCAGTCCGTTAACATCAATTAAAAATTGTGATGTCGCTCACGTCACGGCTACGAAATGCACAAAACTAGCAGTAAAAGAAAGTTACTGATTCTGATACATCTACGCGAAAATTTAAGAAAGCCAATTCGCAAAAATCTTACGATTGGTATATTGTAGACAATGAGAGTGTTTGGCTTGTTATCTTTGTAGAAATGCCAAATTTGACACAGCTTACGCACGTGGGCACGACATCCCAGAAAAACTACGATCACGGTCGTCATGCTACATATCGGCCGTATATCATGTAATGTATAAAACAACAAAATTTGTCAGGAAAGAAGTGTTCTTATTGTTTCAATATAGGTCATAAATATGACGCTCAGATTAAGATTTATCAATATTGTAAATATCAAAAAGCATTATTTATAAAGATATTATGAGTTTAATATTTCATGAAAATAAAGGGAGGTAATTAGAAATTTATTTTCTATAATTTCTCAGTCAAATTTTTCAATAAGAAATGAATGTATATAATTTTAGTGATCAAATATGATGTGCACAAATGTTTGCAGTACATATTTTACATATTCTTTGATGTTTGAAAATTGTTTTATAAGCGTAATTATATGCACATAAATGTGGCACTACACCATACTAAGTTATAAAAGAATTTCTGTAATCAGAACAGAATAGGCAGGTATTGCTAATCAATATCCAATGTATCTTTATATTCGAAAGTAATAATATAAATTAGTTTATTCATCTTATTTTTTCTTACACATTATTATCAATAAATCTACATGAAAATACATAATTAAACAAATATTTAGAGAAAGCTGATAAATAGATTGTGATTATATTATAGTTAAAGGATGTCTAGGCATGCATGTTAATGCATATTGGTTGTTTCCTTTCTCCCTATTTTTCGCGCGGAAGTCACTTCTCCCTAAAATTTCCACCCAGGATGAGCCCTGATGATAGACAATGATTCAGAAACAAATGCTGAAGTTTTGGAAATTCTATTGTTTACTCTGCAAATGATTATAGATGGTATATGAGGTCAGGCATTGTTTTCTTGACCCCCCAAATTTCAACGTCAACATTCTTGAAATAGCCATTAAAATTATATTACCATTTACGGTGGTTGAAATAAATTTATTTATTTATTTTTAGAAGAAACATGCATTTATTGTTGATAAAAAAAGTGACAACCACTGAACAAAGAAAATACTAAATTAAGCATTTTCAGGGCCGTCCGGGTTTGGTGGTTGTCCGGTTTTGGTGGTCCCCAACCAGTAGCTTAAACATTTATGAACTGTAAATTCTTCCCTCACACACTTTCATCAATAACAATTTCAATTAGAAAAGGTATATAAATTATGACATGAAAACGTAAAACAATGAAAGGTATGAACACATGAAACAAAGATAATTCAACATAGAGCAACAAAACTAGTTCCACTGAGGAATACCGTACCGCCGGTAAGGCCCCCACGGTTACACTTTTAAACGGATTCGTTTCGATTTTCATTCATAAACGGTTATGATATTTTTTACCGTTTATTCGAGATGACCATATTGTCTTACAAATTATCTCTATAATAATTTCCTGTAATCATGGATTTTATCTATACTTATTGGTTTATCAAAGTAAAAAATGGAAAATGGGTGTTTACAACCCGGACCACACACCATCACCGTGCAATAATCGCTTGTGACATAATTCATTTTTGTTAAAGTTGATTTTTCTTTGATCTTTTAAATAACGAAATGCGGATACAATGCAGAAAATGTGTGCCGCCTAAATCGTGATGAGCACTGAACATTATTTACTTGTATAGAAAGTAAGTCATCATTTGGCGACTCGAATACATGGCATAGTATAGTGCATAGAAGTACCACCGTTTAAACAGTATCGATTCGGTTCTTAGCAATCATGTAAAGGTTTACACAAAATTGTAAACGTGGGAGCCTTTACCGCCGGATATTGCTCGATATTACGAGGACTTTCATCCCATTTCAAGACTATTAACAAAGTTAAATTCAAGGTAAACGTTCAATCTGACAACAATAAAATTTCAGATGACAGTGCATTTTGAGAATAAATAAACATGTCAGTTTACCGAGTATTGCTTTGGAGTTGCTCGCCGGTGTCACTAGTATGCTTTTTAATGTAACGAGTATTGGTTATTAATATCAAGTAAATGTGAGAAGGTATCACAGAGTTTTTACCACAATTAACCTTAAATATTTCTTATTGTCACAATGTGTATACTTATTGACATATGTGCAGAATATGCAGATTTTGGAGGTACTGTACTGAATAATACATACCCAGCAAACATGCATATATGGGACCCATATGGGCTATATCTAGGCAAGCTAATGGGTATGCCCATATTGGACCTATATGGATCCAATATTGGCAAGTCCATTTTGGGTACGCCTATATATTAGACCCATATGGGTACAATATTCCAGCACTTTAAGGAAAAACGATTTTTCTTTTATTTATTTCTTTAGAACTCGTTTACTTTGAGCTATAGTGTGACCACCTTGGCATAAATTATTATCTTATATAAAATCGTAGCATTATTTTAAACATTTATACAAGCCATGAGGGACCCATATGGGTCCCATTTGGGCAACCCGATAGATATTAGCATGCCTGAGCAGGTGCGAGAAATTAATTTGTTAAGTTTTTATATTGGTTTTAATTTTTATTATTTAAATATAAAAATGTGTTTTTAGACTATAAATTCAGAAATAATTTATAAAAATCAGTTTTTGATGAAAAAATTTATTTCGAGCATGTGCAGACTTGATTTCCGCTGCCGCTTAAAATCAAATTGTGTATTGAAATGTTAAATTGTAAAATTGTACACAAAAAAAAATATTTCTTTTCCATTCCGAGCATTTAACCACGATTTCGTATAACGACTTTTCATATTATATCCTTACATGTTTATTATGTGTGTAGGTAAGCTGTAAACGCTGTTTAGTTTTTGGTTTTGCCTTTGTCATGTAATTTCCCAATAGTCGTTTAATTTGCGACATTTTCTAGAATTTACGCCCTGACTCTTAGGCACTTTAGCTGACCTATGCATGTGTATAGTTGTTATTGTTGAATTACTTAACTGTGACGGAGTCGACACTAACATTTTAAAAATATTGTTTCTAACTAGACTAAATTTTAAGAGATCTCTTTTTAAAGGGACACCATCATTTGAAATCCAGTGTCCCCCCTAGCCTTAGAAGTCCCTTCCATTTTGTACCAACATTTCATTCATAAGCATTTTAAAATATTAAATACAAAATTAATACTTATTTTTACAAATTCAAGTATTTTTTCCAAGTACCAACCAAGCCCTCTAGCTGTTGCACAGGCATGAGTATCGGACCTAAGAAGAAAAAATATGACCTGATAGATAATTAAACCTGTGTTCATCTTAAAAAATTCGAAAACCAAAAAAAATGTAAATTATGACCCCCTTTAAAACATACTATAAGTTAAGAGAAGGCTGGAAACTCTAGATTCGAGCCTACGAGCAAGGGATTCGCTACCCAGGCCGTTGTGAAAACAATTGTCCAGACAATTAAAAAATCTTTTATCATTATTTCACATTTGTATTAAGCTTCCAAATGAGACCAACTCCAAGTCTCTAGCCCTTCCTGTTCATGAAATAATCCCATCAGGAAACGAGCGCATTCGTGCTAAAAATCCTTGGTAGAAAAAATTGCGGCACAACAATTCGGTACGTAAACATAGACTAATACATGTTTGTCAGCCGTGTACAGGTCATAATCATATTGTCACTTGGTGCAATAACTCACTTAATGACTATGTATATGTATTTTTTAACTACTTATTAATGTATTTTCATTTTATTGTCAATAGGCCATCAAAAAGGCTGTATGAATCGGATAGTGACACTGATGAATATGAGACAGACACCGAGAGTAGGCCATCACAAGTTATTGACAAAGCAACAACGGGCTGCTTTCACCGCCGCGTTGCTTATCTGCACAGGCATTGCGAGAGGCCAGCAGTGATGTGCAAAGTGCTTCTCTTATACAAGGTGCTTCTGATACGCCCTCCCATGGGCAGATTATTGGGCCCAGTAAGTATAAACTTCGGAGCTGTAAATATATTCATTACAGTACATACTTATTAAATGTTCTATCCTCAAAACAAGCCAATAAATGTTGTAACAAGCTGGATTGAGTGACACAGCCAAAATGGAAAGTTTCACCTTATGACGCCCCTAGTTAAAAAAAAAATTCAAAAGAAATTGATGATTACTTGTGTTAGTCTTTATCATGATGTGAATTAATGTTCGCCTATTCTTGTCTGACCCCACAACTGTTATCCAAAGTTACTGTCCTTGGAATAGTCAAAAATGTTTATTTTCACCCCATGACATGCCTAGCTCAAAAATATTTTAAGTTTAATTCATGATTTCTTATCATTTTCACATTTTGTGACCTTGCACACTCAACAATCCTTTTGAGATTTTAGCGTTAATTACTGTTAAAGCCAAGGAAAAATTCAAAATACTGGATTTTTTTCATTTGTAATTCACATAGCTCTAAAAGTATAAAGCCTAGAATTATGAATCCTTTTTTGAAGCTGCTGTTACACAGATTCTCTGAGTCTTGGAGACAATGCGGGAGGAGAATCGTGAAATTAAGAGTATGATGTAGCAATTGTTGTCAAGGTCAGCAGCAGATGACCAACCGCTGCAGCTTCCTGAAGATATCTCATTCCCTATTCGTTCTCCTTAGCAGATGGAAACATTCGATGAGCTTCTGGGAGATCAGACAAAGCTGTCATCTGTGGTAAGCATAGTGTTAGTCATGTAATTATTGCACCATTAGTAACTGAAAAAAGTGTACCTCATATCCACTGGCTTAAATGCAAAATAACATAATGGTCTGTGGTTAGCACTTGATGATAATGTATTATCATTCTGCTATACTTATGTAGGAAAATATTGCACAGTGGACAAACACTTTACTGCATTACTTTTAGAATTAAAAACTGGCTTGTTTTAATTTTTTGATTCATATTGAAACAGTTATCTTATTATTTAGATATGCTATAATAGCCATGAGCACAAGACATGGGCAGTTGGCCTCGTTTTCAACATTGATTATTAAGACAAGACAGTCGATTCATTAATCAAAATGCTGGCAGCTTTCAAAATACCAGGAAAATGACTAGTACCCACAAAATCCATGAATTGCGCTGTTATTATAATATCAAAAATTATTCTGTTCATACTGTATAAACTCGTGTTTAAAAAACAACAATGATAATGTGCCCCATTACACTCGGTGGAGGGGACAAACAAAAAGGCACAAGTCACTTAGGCTGTAAATATATGAGGAAAGGTCTTTTAATTTGTCAATTCAAACAGTTTTCTTGGCAGATCATGTATTTGAGGTCCAGTTGACAATTATTTGTCATTTGGTGACTTGCAGCGCATCACAAATTTTGAAAATTAGTAGTGTTAAAATTAACATTAAAAAAAGTTTATGTTCTGCTTTATTTAAGGTGCGGTTCCTCTCAATGTTTGGTGGGGCAGTTGTGCGGGAAACTGTTGACCGCTAGATGATAGAAACCATGTCAAATGAACTGGTAAGAATGTTCAATATGAAGGGGGCTGAAAGGGAAGAAAACATTTTGGGGCCTCTAGATACTGAATGTATTGTATAGTAAGTGATATATTACAAATTTGCAAAGTGGTGTCTTTAAGTAAGGCTTCAAAATAGATATATTATCCAAGATCTTGTTATTGTGTCTTCAGGTATCGCTTTAATGAAAGAAAATGCTTGATTAGCTTTTATGGAAATTAATAAGAGAGAATATTTTACATGCTGTGTGGTTTTGATCCCATGCATTGTGTTGTGATGCATAATATAAGCAGAAATCACCTTCCTGTAAAGCAAGTTATTTGCTTACCTTAACATTCTTTACTGATACACCGATAAGATGATCTCAGCTTACAACTGACTGCAGCGATATCATAGAAATATTGTTAAAAGCAATGTAAAACCGGGACACAAACATCTATATTTGTTAAAACATACTAGAATTAGTTTATATTCCAATTTTATGCTCAAAATGCTACAAGGTGACTTATGACCTTTGAATGGTTTCAATACCTACATTTCACTGCATTTTATTTCATTCTTTAAGGATAAGGATGCTTGTTTTATAGAATGTGTCCAAAGGAACTTGCCGGCAAAGACTGCGACGAGGAATGATATTGAAATAAAGGTTTCAAAGTGGCTGGCTGGGGTGTGGGACCGCAATGGGGGAAGGAAAGCAAGAAACAAAGTGTCCGAGACCTTACCTGAAGCAAATGAAGGAAGTGACTAGACATGTTTTTATTTTTAAAAAATACAAATCTATAGAGGATATTTGTTTGTTAGTGTGTAAGATGAAATTTTATATCATCAAGTGATCTGTAAAAACATTATTCTCACGAGTGAGAACACTGTTATTTAAAAGTCCCTCAATGATATAAAATTACATCTTACACAACAAACAATAAAGTGTATTTTTAGCTCACCTGTCACAAAGTGACAGGGTGAGCTTTTGTGATCACTTTTCGTCCGGCGTCCGTCCGTCGTCCGTAAACTTTTACTTTAAATGACATCTCCTCATAAACCACTAGGCCAATTTCATCCAAACTTCACAGGAATGTTCCTTTGGTGGTCACCTTTAAAAATTGTTCAAAGAATTTAATTCCATGCAGAACTCTGGTTGCCATGGCAACCGAAAGAAAAAAATTTAAATATCTTCTTTTAAAAAACCCTAAGAGCTAGAGCTTAGATATTTGGCATGGAACATCTTCTAGTGAGTGTCTACCAAGTTTGTTCAAATAAAATCCCTGGGGTCAAAATTGGCCCCGCCCCAGGGGGTCATTGATTTTCCCTATATGCATATAGTAAAAACTTACAAAATCTTCTTTGAAAGAACTCAAAGAGCTAGAGCTAAGATATTCAGCATGAAACATGTTCTAATGAGTGTCTACCAAGTTTGTTTAAATAAAAGCCCTGGGGTCAAAATTGGCCCCGCCCCAGGGGTTCATTTATTTTCCTTATATGCATATAGTAAAAACTTTAAAAATCTTCTTTTAAAGAACTCAAAGAGCTAGAGCTAAGATGTTTAGCATCAAACATGTTCTAATAGTTGTCTACCAAGTTTGTTCAAATAAAGGCCTGGGGTCAAAATTGGCCCTGCCCCGGGGGTCATTGATTTTCCTTATATGTGTATAGCAAAAACTTAAAAAAATCTTCTTTGAAAAAACCCAAATAGCTAGAGTTTAGATATTAAGCATGAAACATCTTCTAGTGAGTGTCTACAAAGTTTGTTCAAATAAAAGCCTTGGGGTCAAAATTGACCCCGCCCCGGGGGTCATTGATTTTCCTTATATGTGTATAGCAAAAACTTAAACTCTTCTTTGAAAAAGCCCAAATAGCTAGAGTTTAGATATTAAGCATGAAACATCTTCTAGTAAGTGTCTACAAAGTTGGTTCAAATAAAAGCCCTGGGGTCAAAACTGGCCCGCCCCAGGGGTGTCATTGTTTTTAACTATATGTGTAATGCAAAAACTTAAAAAAATCTTCTTTTAAAAAGCCCAATGAGCTAGAGCTTAGATGTTTAGCATGAAACATCTTCTTATGGGTGTCTACCAAGTTTGTTCAAATAAAAGCCCTTGGGTCAAAATTAGCCCCGCCCCAGGGGGTCATTGATTTTCCCTATATGCATATAGTAAAAACTTAAAAAATCTTCTTTTAAAGAACTCAAAGAGCTAGAGCTAAGATATTTAGCATCAATCATGTTCTAATAGGTGTCTACCAAATTTGTTCAAATAAAAGCCCTGGGGTCAAAATTGGCCCTGCCCCGGGGGTCATTGATTTTCCTTATATGTGTATAGCAAAAACTTAAAATCTTCTTTGAAAAAACCCAAATAGCTAGAGTGTAGATATTAAGCATGAAACATCTTCTAGTGAGTGTCTACAAAGTTTGTTCAAATAAAAGCCCTGGGGTCAAAATTGGCCCCGTCCCGGGGGTCATTGATTTTCCTTATATGTGTATACATGTAGCAAAAACTTAAAATCTTCTTTGAAAAAACCCAAATAGCTAGTGTTTAGATCTTTAAGCATGAAACATCTTCTAGTAAGTGTCTACAAAGTTTGTTCAAATAAAAGCCCTGGGGTCAAAACTGGCCCCGCCCCAGGGGTGTCATTGTTTTTAACTTTATGTGTATAGTAAAAACTTTAAAAAAAATTTTTTTTAAAAAGCCCAATGAGCTAGAGCTAAGATGTTTAGCATGAAACATCTTCTTATGGGGGGGGGGGGGGGGCTATATACAGGTGAGCGACCTCAGGGCCATCATGGCCCTGTTGTTATTTTATGCTAATGAAATTTCCTCAATATTAACTTAAATAATTATTAAATCTGTTTTCCCCACTGTTAACATCAATTTTAGTTGAATTTAAGTCCAATTATTCATAAATACAGGAGTCTTGGGCTGAACAAAAAGTTGAATAGCAATGATTTTATTTATTTTATTAAAAAAATATGAATAATCGCTTGTTTTAATAATAAAAACAACCAATTCTAGAAGAAAAAGTCACACCATCCCACCTTATTTCTGTTACTCAGGCAATTTATGTATGACCTGGCTTTGTGAAATGTAAGTGGCGGCCATTTATAAAAGTTTTGTATTTCAAGGAAAATTAATTTTGTTTTATTCAGAGGAATATTATTTGGATAGGTTAGTCTTGAAACAGTCCTGAGAATGTCAGAATTGTAAGCAAAAATGATATTAAGGTACCACATGGGGAAAATCTTTAAAAAGTAGTCTCGTCATTGAAAAGTTTGAAATTTGGATCATGTGAAATTATCAAATATAATTTTCACGGATACATCAGTAATACACACAAAAGCATAAAATGAATGACTTTTATTTTACATTTTCGAACCTTTTCTTCATCGGCATATAAGTTATTCCAATGGTTGAAAGTCAATAGATATCAAAGTATTTTAAAATGTGATAAGGGTCAGAACTACAGTAAGTGGCTCATTTGTGTGTCTTGTTATACTTTTTGTTGCTAATTTTAATGTTTGAGGTCATCAGCATAGCATGTCTTTCTTGTAAATGAAAAATTCTTTGCCTTCTAGTCAGTTTATTTTGCTGCTATGTAATGTTTGTTGTTGACATTATATGCTGTTTTTCTGTTGTCTATATGCTGTTGTTATTTTTTTCATTAAACATTGTTGCTATTTAAATCAAGACATTAAATGCTTGGGGAATGTTTTTGATGCTGATCAATACAATTATAACATCTTGTCCAAACTTAACACTAACAGGGAACACATATATAGGTATGGTATTAACCTTTTAAATCAAGTTGAAATACTGTACAATGATGCTTCTTGTAATCTTTATTTTTGTTATTGTTGAAACTTTGATAATATCGGATAAATTACTGAAACAACTATTTTTACTGACAATTTTTTAAATGAACTTCCTCACAACAAATTTGATCTTGTTAAGTCAGTATTATTTCACATTTTTTAAAGGAATATATCCATAATTAATTACTGTTCTGTGATATATAGGATAATTGTTAATTTTGGTGTAATATCACATTTCATTTATAATTAATTTCACAGAGTGGATACCTAAAGCGTTGTTCACAAAGTGACGCAGCCATGTTGTTCACAAAGTGGCGCAGCCATGAGTGAAAATAACAACTTTTGGTATTCAGAAGTGAACTTATCATGATATTTACATTGATACAGTATACATGTATGTGTTTACTTTATGTCTAAAACTCCACTAATGTTTGGTTCCTTTCAATAAAAGGTTGAAATATGCGAGAAACTTTTTATCAGGAAGCATCGCAAAGATGAAGTCATTTTATTGACGTTGTTGTCATATTTTTTTCCGAATTTCAGTATACTTGGTTAACTTTTTTGATATTTATTTAGTTATCAAATTCGATAATTTTTTTCACAAAGTGGCTAGTGAGTCAGGATATAATTCAACGTTAACTTCCATAAACCATTGAAAATTGATACAAGATTAATGAAATTCATATTGAGAATGATATTAGCACATAGAAAATTGATCCAAACAGTAACGTTTCACAAAAGGTTACTATAACTATTGATATTAACAATTGAAATGCATTAAATTGTAAATACTATTGTTATTTCTTGCCTTTATTGTGGTTTTTGTTGATGAAGATATGAGAAATGAAGCTGGTTATTTTTACAAACTGGTACAAACTATTTGTTACTTTTCATCAGCTGCATATTTTTTTTACACGTCTATAAACAGTATTTCTATGTGCCAAGGTTTTGTTATTATATTTGTTACTTTTCATCAGCTGTATATTTTGTTTACACATCTATGAACAGTATTACAACTGTGCCAAGGTTTTGTTTTATTATATTTGTTACATTTCACAAGCTGTATAATATTTATTCTTCAGCACTATCATACCAAAGTGTAATATATGGTTGTAATGAACAACTTTTTATATTATATTCATGTAAATCTATTTCATTTGTCCAATACAAAGATATCTGAAAATTTAAATATCATATAAAACATAGATACTATTTCATTTGAAAATGAAAGTAATTGGTAGATAGAAATTTGTAATGAATTACAATAAATGTATACTTTCCTATGAATTATGTAGAAATTTAAAAAGACATGGGAGTAGGTTTGCAGTTGTGTCTTTGAGAATCTGTATATATATGATACACTCTTACCATAATTGAGATTACTAAATAAAGTTAACATTGTTAAAGCATATACATTGTGTGTTGTTTTCTTGCAAGATAATAAAGGCTTTGTGCCATAATCTGTCTGTTCCAGTTAAAACATCACTTGAATATTTAATGCAAGTACAAGAATTATGCCAGTTGCAACTTAACGTCCAGCAAACTTATAATTGAAGTACTTGAAAATAGATCTATCCCGGAATTCAATAGCTACCCATTATGGAAGTATCTGGGCTGCCCATTTGAAACCGATATTTAGTACAAGGGCTGCCCATATGGGGCCCATATTGAGTACATGGGCCGCCCAAGTGGGGCCATGTGATCCCATATGGAGTATAAGGGCTGCCCAAGTCTCAGATTTTGATAAGATTAAAATATAGGGCAGCATTGCTGCAAATGCAATAAAAAGGTTATGATACAGGGCAAGTGTTCATTAAGACAATACCGGTATACTTGAACGGCATTAACTTTGGGCCAATATTTTAATAAGTGTGCCAATATCTTTCTTAAGGCACACTTTTTCTGTAATAACCTATAATTTATGTCATCTAGATCTGTTTTTCTTCTTTTTAGAGATAGGTCTAATAGAACTAAAATATTTGAATAAATATCAAACTGTACATTATCTGCAACAAAAATAAATGGCGTAATCAATAAACAGACTCAGGCTGTGAAAGGTTATTTATTTCACAACACAATCGACACTCCAGTACTTTCAGTGCTTTGATTATATTTTGCCAGGGATGTAAATAGACAATCATTGATGTGTCATTTTTCCATTTGAGAACATTGAATACACACATTTGCATCCAACAGGTTAATTATAAGACAAAACACAGTTGTGATTAGGATGATAAATGGGCAACGGTAAAAATATATGTACAAATGAGCCAAAATTGTTAAATTTCAGAATAATTGATTATTAAAAACATTTCTAACAACAGGAACACAGGACAGACAAAGTTACGTCCCCTTTACAAAACTACCTCATTAAATAACTGTAGACTGTATACATATATAAAGTTATATTTATATATTTAGTGCTTGGAACATATTAATACATACGTAACAGTGAAGGGAGTTCAATGAGAAGGTAATTGATATATATTTAAGGTCACGGGGTTCTACTGACTATTCAAGCAACGTTGACACAAATTTTACAATTTGAATTTTCAACTGTGTAATCAATTTATACATCGTCGGATACCCACGGCCGAACCATTAACATTTATTTTTTGATTGCATGTTATGTGACATGTTTATCAATCGTGGGTATCCGACGATGAATTTATAAAGTGGTTCGGTTCTGTGACCAGCGTGTGATTATTGTGCGGCGGCGTAATAAGGGCACGGTTATGGGTAGTGCCGTGATAATCACAGACACGACTTTATAATTAATCAGTTTTATCCGAATGATAAATGATGATTATTGTATTCTAAAACCAGTTCTGCGTTTAATGGTATTTTTTTTTTAAAATTCTACTATTTGTATTACCACGCTTCGTTATAATCACACGTTTGGTAGTAGTGCCGTGATAATCACACGTACGGTCTTGTGTACACTCCAAATAACACGAAATAATTTTAAATTATATAGAGCTATACCATTTTATTCCAAAAATAAATTCCGCATCTAATGGTATAACTTTTGTGCGAAAACGCGGGAATGTATTAAAAAAAGTTTCATTTTACTGGAATTTTCATATGAGTTCGTCATTTCATATGAATACATATAATTGTGTTTTATTTTTTCTGGTATATAGTTTATATATAAAAAACCTTAAAAAGCCACCAGACGTTCAAAAAAATATTTTTTGATTTAGTGCAGTTTGATAAAGTGATCAAGATAATGTTTCTAAATCAAAGCACTGCAATCACTGAGGTATACATTTGCTTGACATTACGGCATCCAGTCTTGCATAAGGATTTTTTTCATAAAATCATCATAAATGACTGTTCAGGAACAATAGATATTTTATTAAATAACAAGAATTTGGACAGAAGTACCTGGGCCCCCGCCTCGGGTAAGTTTTTATATGAAGCGTAAAATTATGCTGTTTCAAAAAGATTGAGGTATGGATCTTAGGACTTTCAGTCCAAAATTATGGTCCAATGCTAGATCTGCAAATGCAACAATAAATTTTAAAGAAATAAAATGAATGTTAAGCTTTGACCTCTAAGTGTGACCTTGATCTTGGAGGTAGGGGTGCAGGTGTTGTGCATGACATATGTTATTATTTTAACCATTTGTACCCAAGTATTTTTAAAATCCCTTGAACTATGAAGAAGTTCTAGATGGGACACAAAATGAACCCTCTTACAGACTATGTTAATCTTTGACCTCCAAGTGTGACCTTGGAGGTAGGAATCCATGTTTTAGGCCTGACATATCGTCCTTATTATAATGATTATTTGTGCAAAGTATTTTTTAAAATCCCTTGATCTATGACAAAGTTATGGACTGGACACAAAATATACCCTATAACCACTTTGTAAATCTTTGACCTCTACATGTGACCGTGACTTTGGAGGTAGGGACACTTTGTGTTATGCATGACATGTCATCTTATCATTGTGACTATTTGTGCCAAGTATTTTCAAAATCCCTTGATCTATGAAGAAGTTATGGACGGGACACAAAATATACCATATAACAGACTGTTAACTTTTGACCTCTAAAGTGTGTCCTTGACCTTGGAGGTAGGGGTGCAGGTGTTGTACTTGACATATCCTCTT